TCTTCCTAAAAGCGGACATTTTAACGTTGCTGCAATCCCACAGCAATGATGCAACAACATTTTGCAGTGAATTTGCAATATTGCAACATTGCGATGAAAGATTGATGCAATGTGTATGCAATCTTTGTGTACTGTATGAGTATATATATATATATATGATGTGATGTATGTATGATTATGTACTTTATGTTTGCGCAATAAAAACACAACAAAATAAAACAAGAAAATGTATATTTACTCATACACACCTTTATATAATCATATATAAATATATATATTCATATTCATTTATATATAGGTGTATCTATTTATGTATGGACAAATTCGGTATATAATTTTGTATAATTAGATATGTACTATTTTTGTCTAATTATGTATGAGAAATTTTTTACCGGGTATTTAGAGAATAAAAATAAATGAATATTATATTTTAGGTGTACATAGTGTTTGTGATGTCAATGATGTCAATAATGATATTCATGAGGTATATGACGCTCATGACATTAATGAGATATATAATGTAAATGATGTCAATGATATTCATGACGTGAGTGATGTTCATGACATTAATGCGGAGGTGGATAATGATGATGACGTCAATGATGTTAATGATGTCAATGATGTTCATGATGTTAATGTTGTAAATGATAGTCACATTTGTTGCGGTATGTATTGTGTTACTTTAATTATTTGTATATTATAGTATAAAGATGCTAGTGCATAATTTATATTGCGCATTTTTTAATCCTTTAAAATTTTGTTAAAAATAAAATTTTTTTAAATTGTAAATTATACTAATAATTTTATCTTCTATTTCATATAGAAGCATGTCGTACGACACTAAAAACTTTCACACAAAAATTTACGACGAATACAATAAGAATAGCGAAAAAATTAGATTTTATCATTAATCTTATTGAAAATAAGGATGTTGCGTGTGAGAGTACTCTTAAATGTGACACAAAATTATTACCTCCTTTACCTCTGATGACAATAGAAGATTATTCCAAATTTGAAGAAAAGCTTCAACAAGACAGGGAAATCAGAAAGCAGTTTGTAAGTATTTTTTTATTCAATGTTGCTTTAAAACTGAACTATCACGGCGCATTTCAATGTATAGATATCAGTGTCCTATCTGGATAAATTAATCACTATTTTACATCTGGTTTTTATGTTGCAGAAAAAGAAAATTTCAACAATTGGAGGAACGACGTATGCTAATAAGACAAGAAATATTATGAAATTTATTCTAGATGATAATGTTTCGAAAAAATTATCGTGGACAGGACAAAAACAATCAATACCAATAAAAGACACAACATTTGCTAGCATTATTATAGGTAATTAAAAACAAAAATATTATAAATATAAGTTTAAAAAGTATGTTATAATTAACACAGTAAATTAGTTACGTTTCTTTAAATAAATTTCAATTATAAAAAACAAATCTATATATACACATACAATTGTTAGATTAATCTAACAATTGAAATGTAACAATTTAAATCTTTATTTTTCTACAACAATTTTCAATATTAAAGTATTAAAAAATTTGTAATTTAAACATAATTTTATAATTATTTTAGATTACATTTCTACGATAGAAAATTGCAGTCTTTATCAGGTGCAAAAAGTTATTCAAGAATGGTTGCGGCACGCAGGGGATCGCCTCAGTTATTTATTGAAAAAAAATGGTATGGTATAAAGTGACATATAAATAGTAATATAAGTAGTATTACAAATATATATTTTTATAAGTACTAAATGTATTTTTATAAGAGTATTACAAATATACATATGTATATTTGGATTTTATATTTTAACATATATATCTTAATATAGTTTATATAAGAAGTATTATGTAAAAGTTATGTTTGAAAGTATTATGTAAAAAAATATTAATAATAAAATACTAAAATATAACAAGTT